CATGAACTGCAGCTGTTTCGGGTGTATGTACACCCGGGTTAAACAAATTCATCTTTTTTTCTGAAATTCTTTGTGGCTGGATATTCTTCTTCTCTGCGGTGTACAGACAGCTGCTATTCCTTTCTTTTTCTTTGTTGTTTATCTTTAACTGTTGCTTATTAAGTTACGAATTATAAAATACTATTTATAACAGAAGAAATAAAATAGCGTTAAGGAGAGCCAGTAGCTGAGCAACGAGTGGAAATAGTGATGTATAACCACCGTTTTTTTCTAGTATTTCACCTAGAGTTTTAATTATAATTTATATTTTAGTTTATTTTTTCATAATTTTTAAACAAAAAAAGATGCATCATGATGGGTACAAGAGTGGTCAGTCTGTTCAGGTGTATAGGCACCAGTGTGCTCGTGCGGCTGCTGGTTGCCTTCGTCGTTTTTCTGAAGAATTTCTGCGTGAAAACAAATTTAAATTGAAAATTAATTTAATTTATTAAATTTAATTTATATATTCTCGTGGAAACCTCAAAAATTCTGAAAAACGACGGTCAGGTCCGCCTCAGCAGCCCCGTGTTCTACCAGCGTTTCGTGCTGGTGAGGCCCTGAAAAGAAGAGAAAAATAAATATATTTTTTTGTTTTTATTTGACAAAACGAATTATTTTTGTTTATTTCTCCTTGTGGAGAGTGTATTCCTCTTGTTTCCTCGAATTTAACTCCAGTTTCCCCCTTTTTTTTCGGGTGTATGTGCAGCTCGGTTTATTCATCTTCTTTTGCAATGAAGATTCAGAATGGCGTCTGTCAACCCTTGCGATCCACCTTTACCTCGTGAGGCTATAACGCAGCCTCTTCTTTCGGGTGTATCTGCAGCTGCTGTTCCTTCTGTATCCTGCAGCAGCAACTCCGTTTCCATCCCCCCTCCTTCTTCTCCATCTCTTGATGCACACTCTCACGCTGCTCAGCATACAGAGGAGGCCCCCCTCATTCTTTTTCCTGTTTCTGCTTTGCCTCCTCTTGCCTTTGACAGTCGTGTTCAGTCCGTAGACCTAGTAGCTGCTGCTCCCCGTCTCTTCAACTGCTGCTGCTGCAGCAGCAGCAGCAGCAGCAGCAGCAGCAGCAGCAGCAGCTTTTTCTTTTGTCCCTGGTCAGATGCAGCAGACGATCCCCTTTTTAATTGGATCGGTTTTTTGCATTCTGCAACTCAGCGTTTAGACAACAATACATCTCTTGCTGCTCCTTTCTCGCAGCAGCAGCAGCAGCAGGGGCCCCCCAGCAGCAGCAGCAGCAGCAGCAGCAGCAGCAGCAGCAGTGATGCTCAGAGAGCTCTAGAGTTAATAGAAGGCCTGAGACAGGGTGTATTGCCGCAGGGAAAAGCAGCAGATGTAAGAACACTAGTGCAGCGTAGTGAGGTTATATATGGGGGAATACAAGAAATAAATAAAGTTTATAAAAGAGTAAGAAGATGTGAATATATATTAATTATTTTATTATTTCTATTGCCTCCATTAGGTTGGTTGCTGCTGCTGCTGCTGCTGCTGCTGCTGCTCTTCTCTCCTGCTGCTGCTGCTTTCTTTGATTCCTTTCTTACATTCTGTATCGCTCGCTGCTGCGTTCATCTTAATTTGCTGCTGGGGCCTTTCGGGGTAGCTCTGATGCTTATGGAGGCCCAAACTGCTGCTGCTGCTGCTGCTGCTGCTGCTGCAGCAGCAGCTGGGCATAGTAGTGCTGCTCCTGCTGCTGCTGCTGCTGTTCCGCTGCAGCAGCAGTTCTGGGTATTGAGGGTCTTCTTGCTGCCGTAGCAGCAGAAGTAATACATATATAATAATTTATAAAATAAATTTATTAAGCTTTTTGTCTTTTTTATTTTTTTTTATATTTTTTTAACTTTTTAATATTTTTTTAATTTTTTTTTGTCTTTTTTCTATTGCGTTCTTATCTATTTTATACAGAAAAAATTAATAATAATTACTATATATATATATATATATATATATATATATATATATATATATATATATATATATGTAGGGTTTAGGGTTTAGGGTTAGCACTACAGCTTGCTGTTGAACTGCAGCTGGAGATGCAGAGAAACCTAAACCCTAAACCCTAAACCCTAAAGAAAATAAACAAACAAAAACAAAACAAAAGAAAGCAAAAACAAAAAGACACAAAAGTAAAGACAGAGAAACGAAATAAAAAATAAAGACAGAAGAAAACAAAACAAAACAAAGAGAAGAAACAAAGAAAAAAGAACAGAAAAAAAAAAACAAAAAGAGCGATTGTTTACTCTTGTCTTCTTGCTAACCCTAAACCCTAAACCCTAAACCCTAACCAACCAAAGAAAAAAGCAAACAAAAAAAAACAAAAATATAAACACGCCGAAATATAAAATATATAAACATGAAGAAAAAAAAATAAATAAATAGAATGATGAACATCTTAATAAATAAATAAATAAAACGAAGCAAACAAATAAACAAATAAATAAATAACAAAAATAAAACAAAA